CCCCAGCTGGAGACGGCTCTGCTTCGTCAGCTAATAAGAGAACCCGAAAGGGAGGTGTGGATCGAAAGCCGAGACAGGTAAATGCGAAACAAAATAGGGAAAATTTGATCACAATAGGTTCTTCATCGGGATTTGGGAGAGCTCGGAAAATCAATTTGGTCTACCTTAAATGGAGTCCCACCTGCCAATTTTTTGGCTGGCCGACTCTAAAATTTTTCTGAAGGCGCCCTTGGCGCCAATATATACTAGTTTCGAGGGAAGAGAAGAGAAAAAACGCAATATTTTGGTCAGAAACTTCCAAAAATTGCCCAAAAATGTATTTTTGGCCTGTTTTCTCAAAAATTTGCTTTTTCTTTTTTTTTTCGATTGAAAATCCCCCCACCCGAGAAAAAATTCTAGATCCACGCCTGGATCAGGCCCTGATGCGACAAATTATTTTATGATTGGTTCTAAATTGTTAAGCAAAGAGACCACCAGCAAAACTTTCTTTTAAAAATGCCAAAAACTTGCCTAAAGTTCTTTATTGACGCTGAAGTTAGCTTGAAATTGTGAGAGGATTGTCTTTAAAAAGTATTGTCTGAACAGAGAACCGCTGATAAACCGCCTGCCAAAATATAACAGTTTATTATACTAACAGTTATATTAACCATTTATTTCTCACCAAAGTGTTGTATTGACAGGCCTACTCGGCTAAGCAGCTGGAGAAACTGGAGGAGGAGTTTAAGAATGACAAGTACCTGAGTGTGAGTAAGAGGTTGGAGCTGTCGGTGGCTCTCAACCTCTCCGAGACACAGATCAAGACATGGTTCCAGAACAGAAGGTAGCTGCACATACTTACCATATACTTAACCATATCAAAAACAAGTTTAGCCAGCTGCCTTGTTAGTGGTACAGAATATTCCGACCACAGTTTGATAAGCATTATATAAATTTTAAAATTTGGTTTATTAAACTGTCTGCTATACTTTGGTATGGGTTGGGTTTTGAAGTTAAGCTTCACAATAAGATAATAATTGCCTAAATAAAGAAAATATAATGGCAAAATTAGTTTAAAAAATGTATTTCATTTTTTTACCGGGTTCAACGATTGTGTAAGCTAAGCCACTGGATTAGTGCTACAAAGGTGAGAGCAAACTTGTGCAGAAATCGAAATCTCATTATCCGAAATATGTAAAATTATAGGACTAAATGGAAAAAACAGCTGGCTTCAAGAGTGAAACTGGCTTACAGGCAGTTCTGGCAACTTCCCCATAACCCAGCCGCTGCAGCTGCCGCAGGAGCCATGACATTCCCCCACGCTCTTTATAACTTCCCTGGCAACCCCGCCCAACAAGCTACTATCGCAACACCGGGTGGGGGGCTGCCCTTCGCAAGTCTTCTTCCCCAAACGACCGGGGGGCTAATGCCGTTTGGATTATTTGCACCTCCGAATAAAACAATTCAGTCGGAGCCTACAGGCACGAGTTTGAGCCTCCAACAACTAGCTCAGTTAGTGGGATCTTCAAACCCGACAACGCTGAGCTCGCTTATAACTAGCGGGGCTAATAATTTTGGGCTAAATAATGCCCAAATTGGGCCGTTAATGACACCCCTAGGTCTGAGTAGACTACTGGCTAGCTCTAGTAGCCAGTTTTCCAGCGTGAACGATCAACTTGTTGCTCAGTTTGGAGTGAAAAATGACATAAATTCAAAAAATGAAAACTTGATTGTCAATGACCTCGAACGAGAGTTGAGAGAAGAGGTCAATGAATTTTACGATGACCTCGAAGATAATGAAGAAGACATACAACTAATGGGAAACGAAGAGAAAAACCTGAATGACGACGATTGATTTTATAAAACGGAGCTTAAAACAAGTTTTGAATGCATTTTTGAATGTTTAGGTAGACTGAATGTAAAATATATCATAACCTGTATAAACTTATTCAACTGTGGCAAAATTTAAAAAAAAAACGATTATCTATAGCGTTTTTCAAAAAAACCAAGGGAAAATTAGCGGTTGCGATTTGGAGGTTGCAAAAATGATCTTCTTAAGCATATCAGAAAACCGTTATGACAAAAATTTTCTCGAGGGCGTTGACAAAATTGATTGACAGAATTTGGTATGGGTTAGGTCAGTAGCGGATTTAGGGCGAGGGCGGGGGTTCCGACGCCTCCTTTCAGGGATTCGACCCAAGGAGTCCCCCTTTGTACTATTTTGAGATATCTATTTTTGGTGAGGTGCCCTAAAATCTTTCTAAAGGCGCCTTTGGCGCCAATATATATTAATTTTTGAGGGGGGAGCGCGCGCCGAAAAAACGCAATTTTTTGGTAAAAGTTTTCCAAAAAGTGCCCTAAGACGCCTTTTTGGCCTGTTTTTTCAAAACTTTGCTTGCGGCTCAGAAATTTTGGCTAAAACAGGGACTTTTTAGTGCTAAGGGAGAGCTCAGAAAATCAATTTGGCCGAGCTATAGAAAAATTCGATAAAATTTTCGAATTTTTTTTGAAAACCCGCCCCCCTCGAGAAAATGCTAGATCCACCCCTGGATTGCAAGTTGAAGTTAAGCTTCACAATGAGATAATAACTGCCTAAATAAGGCAAATAAAATGGTAAAATAAGTATAAAAAAGTTATTTCATACATTTACTGGGTTAAACGTTTGGGCCAATTTGCCAATTTTCTAAAGCGTTTCTAGAGAATTCTGATGCAACGTCCTAGCAGTTTCTCTCCAAGCAGCAGCCCATCGTATGAATGGGAGAACAAACAAGAATGAGAGGACAAAAAATATGAACGAGAGAACAAATAAGAACCAACTTCAGCTGTGAGGCCCAATGCCGTAGACCAATATCGAGCTCAACCTGTAACAAACTTGTCGCAGTCCGGGCCAAGTTTCGGGCCGAATTGAGCCGGAAATGTCCAACGCGCGACCGAAAATCTACACTTGCGCCGAGGCTTAAGTCAAGCAAAGTCGCAACATTATTCGCTGATTTTGGGTCACGATGGTTGCAACATTGCTTTTTTGGACCGCACAAAATCGAGCACAACTCTTCGGACGCACAAAAATGCACCATACCCATTTATAGTCATGGTGGTCGCAAATATTTTTTAGGGCACGCAGATACGCGCAAACTTTCTTCGATTGCAACATGCTAACTTTGAGTCGTGATGGTTTTAACATCTCCATTTCAGGTCGCAATGGTAGCGACATAGGTCCCCGATCCTGGCCCGCAAGCAAAGTCTGACAAAAATATTCTGGCTCTCATATAGTCTGGATGCATATTTTGAAAGCTTTAAACAGGATAAAATGAAATCAGCGTCAAAGCTATATAGTATTGGTAGGTTTGTTTCGTTGATTTATTGATTTTGAAACGAGCAAACTGAATCAACAGCCTTCTTTTTTGTGACATAAGACATCCAAAAATGCTTGTGAGCTGTGCATTAAAGCAAGATGTTCGGGTGGGCCTGCAACTTTTTTGATATAACTTTTTTGTCTTAACCCTTTGGAGAATCTTTCAAAAAATTTCTCGATCAATAGGTTGCCTGAAAACTTTAAAAAACTTTTAATTATTCAATAGCTCGCATGAAACAATTTTCTGAAAAAAAAAGTTTTTTTTGCGAATAGATTTAAGCTACGAAAACAGTTTGAATTAAATTTATTGCTCAATAGCGAGCTAGCCTCTATGAAACTATCAATTTTTGGTTGCAATGACTTACCAATGTAATCCGATTCTGAAATTGCCAGTTTTCCTCATCTGCACTAAGTTTTGCACCGACAGTGAAATCTTTTTTGAATAAGCAGAGTAAAGAAAAATGTTCATGTTACATGAAAATTTCCATGCGAGAAAAATGGAATAATCAGTTTATTTCTATCTATTAGCGAATCGATTCATGCTAGGAAAAAAATTGAAACACCTTGAAGCTCACGGCTTAATTAAACTGCTCTTGTTGGCCTCTTTTTAAAAACCAAATCAATTTAATTTTAAAAATGAAGATTTCAAAATTTTGTAGCGTGACGAGGTTTTTAAAAATATTTGTTTATAGATATCTATTTTTGTGAACCCTTTCAAACTGCTGAAATTGGAAAACTTCGTGATTAGCAAGCCGCAAGAAGTTTTAGTTTTTGCAAACTGATTCAAGCTATGTTATTAAAATATAATTGGTTAAAAGCTTCTACACTGAAAGAAATTCTTTTCTAAGAAAATTTTGCAAACTGATTCACGCTATAAATTTTTTTGGAAATATTTTGCTTAATAAATTTGCTTTGAATATCCTACTGTTTTGCTAATATTTTTTATTCAATTTTTTTTATTATAAAGATTTCTAGTTTTGTTTAATTTGGCGGAAAGAAAGGAAGAAAAATTTATACTAATTGAAACTTTTAGGGTAGATCCTCCCGGGATGACCAAAAATACTAGTCATACACTTTCCATGCAATTCCATACGTACAGAACATTGCATGAAAGGTCTATGATTAGTATTTTTTCATATATGGAAATTGTATAACTAGCATTTTTCCATAAACCAAAAATATTGATTTTTTACATTTTAATTTCTCAAAATTTTTTTGGCTGTGTTCGTAACCGAACACAAATGACATGAACCTTGATTACTCAAACGTAGTAACCAACGGTTTGGCCGTCTCGCATTAACAATGCATTGGAAACAGCCTGATATGTGTTACTTCTGTCTCAGACAATTAACATAACAAAAGTAGTGAACTTTTAAATTTTGGCAACAATTTTCAAAGATGATTATTTCTAAAATTTGAATGTTTAAATTACCAGACATTGATGGGTAATGATCAATGGCATCATTGTATGGGTAGCATTTTTTTTCATACCATTTTTTTTCCTTTTTCTTATGAAGAGATACCAATTTCGATACCAAAACAACTTTAAAACACCTTTGAAATTTGATTAAACTCATTTTGCAAAAATGTATGAAATTTGTATGACTAGCATTTTTCCATAGACTAAGTGTATGAAAATGTATGATTAGCATTTTCGGTCTATGGAGGTCAACCCGGGCTTCTTCATGGTTTTCAGTTGGGGTAGCTTTTGTCTTCAATCGTAGGAAAGATTTTTAGGACACAGACACTTTAAAATAATTAGTTAATCAAGATATCACATGGGTGTCATGGGTGTCTTCTATTTAAATTTTGGGAAGGCTTTTGGATCTTGTAAGTTGGAAAAAGAATCTATTTTTGGGCATTTCTTAGAAAACCTGTTAAAGAAAGCCCTGTGGGACATGAAACTTCGAAATTAGACAAAAATCATGTAAATTTTGAGTGGACATTATCAAATTCTCTTAAGACTTAGAACTCCAACCAAACTCATTTATTAAATTTTAAGTTAAGCTATCTACTTGAGTGTTTTTTTTTAGTCTTTCAGGTCATGAAAAAAATTTCTTGGCAGATCAAAAAATGCTTTAGGACTTGAGATTTTGAAATAAACCATATATTGTGTTATCCTTTTGAGGGTTTTTTACCTCTGACATTAAAATGAACTTGAAGCTCTGATTAAAATTCTCCTTCGAATTTACATAACGGGCGTCTTTTTCCTCTGACTTTAACAACAAAACCAAATTTTTTTAAAGCTTTGATTTTTTTGTGCTCATCTATAGTTTGCTGTTCTTCACTTCAGCATGTTAAGTTGCTCTAGAAATTGTGTTTTTTGAGATGATTCGTAACTCGTGCTATCCAACCGAGTGTTTTGTTTCTCTTCGGTCTTAATAAAAACTCATGAGATCTGTGAATCATAGTTCGCTGAATAATTTGAGTGCTTATCTCCGTTCAATTGTAACAATGGCTTTTAAGATTTATATGTTTCAAATATTTATTTACTGGTGATGTTCGTTTTTTGGGTTTGTGTTTGTTCAAGTTTTATCAAGGTCTCTTTAAACTTAAAGCATCGGATCATTTTATGCACAAAGGTTCAGAGAAAATGAAAATTAAAATTAAGACACAACAATTTCTAGCTACCACAATTGATATTTTTTTTTCAAAACTAATTCCACAGAAGGCAAATTTTTAAGTTAAATTGAGGTTTTCATCAAATTGATGAAATGACTGTTATACAGATTTGCTAGTCCAAATAATTTCAATGCTCAGTAGTGTTATATAAAATTACACAGAACAAAGTTTAAGTTTTTGATAAGACCGCTCTCTTTTTGTAGAAAACCATTTAAAAACTTACACTCTCGTTATAGCTGTTGTGGGTCCTTTTGTTATTTGTTTCCCTAATTGATATAATTCAAACTCAATTTTAACGAGGTGTTACACTGAAGCATTGTAAAGATTTTCACTTCAGGTATGATAGCTGAGATCACAAGCGTACAGATGCAGCCTGAAACAAATTTACTACAAAGTCAAATTTTTTGAAATTAGCTTTAGCAGAATCAATATGCAGTTTTGAAGCCGAGAAAGTTACATTCGAAAACAAACATAAGATAATTTTTTAGACTTTTTTTGAAAAACTCAGCTGCAGCACTGAAAACGAATTTGGCTAAAATTTGGTCTTTAAAGTCTTTAAGGATCAATTTGCTCGATGTGTTGATTCGAATGTTTATCTAAATTAAAAATAGTTGTTGATACTTACATATCATTAATGCACTAACATAAATGATCTACTTAAGCTAAACTACAATTTAGCTGATATGGCATTTTTGCCTTCTTTCTATCAATTATAAGTTCGGTTTGACTGCTATGAATTGAAATTTGAAGGTTGAATCATTTTACCAGCTACATATACAACGCCAAAAGCAATATATTATACCTGGAGGGAGATCCTATAGAGCAGTACTGCTCATCGAGTAGGATATCCTGGAGAGTAAAGAGAAGACAGCCAGCATCAACTCAACAAACAAAATAAATTAAGGGCTGAAATTAAAAAACAGTTTGTAGAGGTCCTGATTGTCTTTATAGAGTCTCAAACAACTGTTTATAGAGTCTCA